GGGAGGAGGAAAGGGGGAGGAGAGGAGGAGGGAGGAGGAGAGGGGAGGGAGGGAGGGAAGAGGAGAGGGGAGGGAGGGAGGGAGGAAGAAAGGAAGAAAAGACAAACAACACATCCAGCTTGATGTGGGACGTATTAAGTGTGAAGTGACCTCTGTTGGAGGATGAGTGGATGATGATCAGAAAGAACTAAGAGACAGTATGGCTGCAGGGACACACAGGGGCCAGGTGGAACTTTGGACGTTACATGAAGTCTGTCTTTATCCAAAGGCAATAAAAAAGCAACCAARGGTGTTGAGCAGATAGAGGAAGAGGCCACAATCAGATTTGCTTGTAGAAAGACTCACTRTAGCCACACACACCTGGAGGGAAATTTCAATTGAACTTCATCCCCTAGAGCTGGATGTGCGACTTGGAGGGTGTGTGTGGTCATGGCCAGGAACTTCCTCACTCACTCATCTCTTCCCCAAGCCTGGCCTCCAGGAGTCAAGTGGGACTAGGCCTGGTTCTCTGGGCAGTGACAGTGTGAAGGGCCGTGACCATAAACCCCAGCAAAGACACCAGGGAAGGCGGATGAAGAGCTCAGCCAGGGGCTTAGCAGATCATAGACATTAAATTGTGAGTGCAGCCGGCTCACTGCCCCTCTGCCTCACAGGAGCAAATCCCTCTTGTCAACACAGTCTCCACATCTATTTAGAGAAGGATTAAGGAACCGGAAGTCCCAGAATGCCACTACCCCAATGAGAGAGAGGAGATTTAAATCCCACCACCATTAAGGGCTCAAAATTTTTGTAAGGGACCAGTTGTTTGATAACTCAAGTCACYAAGATGCTAGCCTTGGGCTCTTTGCCCAAGCAGGGGGCTCCATTCATCCTCTCACAGGTATGACCGCACTCACTACAGGCAGCCTTAGCCCTCAGAACCACAGCAGGTCAGCCAGACCTCCACAAGACTCAAATCCAGCCTTGTAGGGGAAGGTGAGAGTAGAAGAAAATGTGATCACCATGCCTTTGGAAGCAGGGCTGGGTCATGTTGTTGTGGTCTGTTTGGCAACAGTAGTTATCATGATAACCACGCCCTGGCACATGGCACCCCTTCTCTGTGCAGGCCCTGGCTGCGGGTTTAGACACACCTCACCCCTTTCTCATATCTCCTCTTCAACAGGAGAAACTGAGCAGGAAGATTAGGAAACACAGCCACATGGCCAGAGAGTGACAGAACCCRGTCTCAACCTGGCTCCCTTAACATTTTAACTCCTTTTCTTTCCCCAGACTCTTAGTAATGGGTCAAGGTCACTGGGTGGTCAGAGGGTGAATGTGTTTACTGGTCCAGCAAAACAGAACATGATGCAAACCAAGAGAAGGCAGGTGTCCCAAGGAGGCAGTAGATGGGAACATAAAACATGAAGAGGACTCCAGGCTCTGAAACCAGAGAGGACAAAGACTCCCACGGTCCAGAGCTTGGTTTATATTTTCAGCTCTCAAGGGAGAAGGAAAGCCAGCATGTGGTCACGAGGCCAATTTGTGCAGTAGTGGGGATAACATGGAGAGGAAGCAGGAAGAATAGAACAAAACAACAGCTGAGAGCAAGCACTCAGGGAGCTGCAGTGACTCAATAAGTAGGGATAGGAAGGATCAGGAAACTGAAAGCAGTCATCGAGACAGCCACTGCTAAGCAGAATAGTTGATTTGCATGAGCATCTTGGCCAGGGTAATGCCCAGAAGGCTGACAGGATACAAGAGGTCTTGACAGTGTGTGTGAGTGTGACCGTGTGTTACATGGGAGTGACTATGGGTGCAGGACATCTGTGGGGCATGTGACTGTGACCATGTACACTGTGTGTGTGACTATGAAAGCTTGTGTGTGGTGTGTGATGGGTGTGTATGACTGGGTATTCATGTTAGTGTGTGATCAGGACTTCTAAGAAGTAATGTAAGACTAAACAGAAAGAGTTGGTCATTTGACTAGTAGAGTGTACCTCCTCTGTGTCCATAATTACAGTAATTTTGGAAACTTAAGTGTCAGAGGCCTGACTGAAAGTTGTCACAGGGAGATACAGCTATGTAATTTTCTGACCATGTGCATTCCCAGGTAGATTCAGAAATGTCCAGAACTGTGTTCGGTATCCTTTTCCCCAGCTTTGGATCAAGAATTATTTTATGTTCTTTGAATATGTATGTTCATCTCTTCCCACTTTTAACACTTCCTGGGATGAATTCAAGAAAATGTCCTGCCCCTAAGAATCAGATTCAAGCTGACCTCCTGCCATGCAGGTGCCTGGAAATGAGACTCTTGGGTCTTCTRAGAAGTGATAGAGATGCTGCAGCTGAGGTCCCTGAGAATCCCAGGGCTCCTGCTGAACCCCAGTACCATTATCGGGATAGACAATTTCAGATGATACTTTTCCTCCAGTCCTAGTACACTGGGTACCTATGTTCTAGTCCTTGGAGTCACCAGCACACTGTGTAACTTATTCATGCTCCTGAGTCACTGTTTATGCTCCTGTAAAATGAGCCCCTGTGGGCAATTTCCTAATGCATGTTCTATGGGACAGGAATTCCACAAGACAGTTGTTGTTGTTTCTAAAAAATACTACAACACTTACCCCCCTCTTCAAGTTTCACAATGTCTATTTGCATAATGAAGTTTTTAGAAGTTCTGCTGCAAAGACGTCTGTTTAAAATGACCTACACCAGGATTTCCCAATCCCCTTTGACCCCAGAACCTCCTCTTCACACATCACCTGTTCGCATGGCTTAAAATTAGAGCTTGGGGAAGTGGCTGGACCACGTGACCTCCAAGGTCCTTCCAAGCCTATGATTCTAGCCACGAAACCAGGATAAGCCCTCCAGGGTGGGCCTCTTTCCTCTCCTTCTGGAAGATTTGATCTGTTTGCTTTTAGGCTGAGTACGAATAGGCCTTACAGAATATTTATGTCTCCTAGAAAAGCAGTCTCTACGGGGTGCCAGAGATAGAGATTATAACTCTTATTTGTATTTTTCCTAAAAATAAGGAAGCAATCAAATCTTAATTTAATGTACACATGTATAAAAGTACATGCATATAATCTGTAAGTAAATATACACTGTAGGCATCATTTCAAATATTATACATATAATTTTTTTAAATGTTTTTTAGTTGTTGATGGACCTCTGTTTTATTTATTTATATGTGGTGCTGAGAATTGAGCCCAGTGCCTCACACATGCTAGGCAAATGCTCTATCACTGAGCCACAACCCCAGCCCTACATTTTTTTCCTAGGAGTTCAGGATATATATATATATATATATATATATATATATATATTTTTTTTTTTTTTTTCCCTCATGCCAAAATATTTGATTGTAATTGTTTAGCAGGCCTCTATGGTTCCTACTGGACATAATCCTGAGAAACAAAGCAGCACAATCTAAGAAGGGTAAAGAGATTTTTACCCATCATCTACGCCTATCTGCCTTAATTCAAAACGCTGTGGCTGAACAGAGGCATCTGAACGCAAGGCTCAATCTAGTCCAGCTTCCTTCTTGCTGTGCSACACAGTCTTTGTGCTTTTATTCTGGCTGGGAAAAGCTTCCAATAGGACATTTAAGGATGTGTCCCCCAGCCCTCCTCCCTGTGCCACAGCTGCTACTGCAGAGTGGCCTCCTTCCCCTCCCTCCTGACCTTACCTTGGCTTGGGCATTTCCAGCTGTCCTGTCCATCTCTTCCTCCTGGGCTTTCTGCTCTCCACAAGAACCATCAGGCAAAACAAAAACAAAAAGAGTCTTGTAAAATAAGGCATTTTGTCTACGTCTACAATGCAACAGCCTGCTTTCCAGTGACCTTCAATGGGGCAGGTCTTCCCTGGCTCAACCATTGATTCCGTCTTCAGCCTCCTGACGGTGCTGCTCCGAGGGGCTGCAAGGGCATGGTTGGTGAGGCTGATTTCCCGAGTCACTATTTGATTCTGGTGCCTCTTCCACCCACACACACCACCCACCAGGCCATGACACAAACACCAGGCTTTGCCTTCCGTGCTGTTAGAGATTGGCCATTAGTCAAGAAGTTTGCCCTCCTGGGAAACTCTGCTTCCGTTCAACCCTAGAACGGCTTTGGCTAAAACTGTTATATAAAAAAAAAAAAAAAAAATTAAATCTCTTGAACATGCCAGCTTTTTTGCTGAGATCATTAATCCATCTCTCTGGCGGCATAAAACCAGTCTGTCACATCAGCAGGGAGTCAGCGTGGATTTGTGCATGGAGAGGAGTGCACGAACATGTTCAGGAGATGCTAAGAAACACATGAATGACCTGTTTTCAGAATGTTGCTTTCTTTCTTGGTTTAAGAATGTGCTTCTCTGACGGAGAAGGATTCCTGCTTTTCCCCAAATACACACTTTTTTGTTTGTTTGTTTTCAGTGAAAACATATTTTATCAAATCATAAAACATATTCTTGTTTTGTAGCGCATAAACCAAATGCAAATTCATGATTATGTAAACTCTTTTTCCTATCATGAGTGTTAAATTAACTTTGGTCTCTGACCTTGAAATGTGTGAAGTCAAACATCATAAATTAGGTTTGATTCCTGTCCTGCAATATGGAATTATGTACATTAGAAGTGCAGAGATATATACAGTTAGGTTTAACTGCAGAACAAAATACTGCATGTTTAAAAACTATTTATTGCTTGTTTCTGTATCCTAGAAATAGAGAATCTAGTGTGGTAGGAATGTAGGGAGATGGGAACAGAGGCAAGAAGGGAGAGGCAGAATGGAAACAGAATTGTGGTTTATCCTGTAGGGAAGAAAGAATCGAAAGCAGCAAAGCAGGACAACACAATCCATTTCAACTTTTTAAGGAATCCCTACTTAGGATAAGTTGGAACAGGAAAACTATAAAAAATAAAATGGATGAGATCCTTCTTGAAGGGAAGGAGAAAAGAAGAGGAATGAGATTACCAAGTTAGTTCGGAAGTGAAGTACATTTGGTGACTCCTACTCTAGGTGATGAGAGAATGGGAGAGAGAAATCAACGACAGCAAAATTCTCATTTGCAGGTAGGTCTGGAAGTTTAGTTGGAGGGTACTACCAATAACTGATGATGTCCATTATAGGTGGGCAAGCGTGGTGGTGAGATGAGATAAATATTGACTAGTGGAAGTTTGAGGAGACATCAGACTTCTAGATGGCCAGCAGCAGCTAGAGTCTGAGCCTGAGGCTCAGGAAAAAGGCATGGAATGGAGAAATAGTTTTGGAGTCATTAGGATAGGATGGTAGTTTAACCCCAAGAAAGAGTGAGATCTTGGGCTGGGGATGTGGCTCAAGCGGTAG